GGACATGTCCCTGTGTTATTATCAGAGAATACAGTTTATATCGCACAACTGTCCACAACTGTCCAAACAACATCAAACAATCAGGTGTAAGAAATCATACATCACTGTTTAAATACAGAGATCTTTTGAACAAAATGTCGGGGACAATTTGTTAATTTGACCTAATAAGTTACATATATAGCTTATTCTACAATAAGCCCAGTGGATCAACACATAAGTCACACTCAAAGTAGGAAGTTTGGCAGCCTAACAATAAACAGTGTCTCTGGTACTGTGTGTTTCTACTGAAACCATTTTAAGTAAGTAGTAATTGAAATAAAAGGTTATTTAGGCAAACGTTCCAACTGACTGAGCTGTCATAGTTGAGAAGGCATATTGTTGTTGATTGATATGGTGCCAAGATGATGAATCAAAATGGAGACAATCAGTAAGGAAATGTAGAATGTTAGGAAAGAGGATGGTATTCGGAAATGAAATAGTTCTCTTAATCTTGTACATAGATGAAATGATATCTGATTGGTCAAATCAGGAAAACTGTTCACGCTGACAGGCACAACCGAAATCATATTGATCAGAATATCACGTAATGACAGACTTTAATTCTCTTCTTGATATTGTATTGGAGTTTCAAGAAAGCAACTTTTTTTTCTTTCATTAGACCTCATTTGAACTCTGACCTTTTGTTTGCAGATAGCGTGATGTTATTACATTATCCATACAGATCTCTGTGTCTCCTGTCATGTGAATTTTGTGGCACCGAGCCGGTTCAGAGTTACTACGACTGAAGAACCACAGTTTTGAGTCTGATGTCTGTCCCTCTGCTCCATTAGAATCATTTACGATGTATGTATTAGATCTCCTCATGACTCCACAAAAATAGCTGTGAAATTACTAATCAGCTGAAAGTTTGTTGTAATCTCCGCTGAAAGCACACTGAAAGCTGAAACTTTCTTTCTCTAGTGTAGTATACAATATAGCTTAGCACTTTTTAAAAAACTTTCAAATCAAATCAACATTTCAGAAATCAACATATTGTTTCCCAATGAGAAAAATAACTTAAGCACATCCAGATGTATCCAACAAAAAAGTCTTTCTTAGCGGTTAAAATCAAATAACTGAAAAACGGTCAGCAGAAAGCTCCCTGTTCCATCATTATCAGCACATTTGGAAACTGAAGTAACGATTACTGACAGGATGCTGTCTCCAAGAGGTTGTTTCTGTGATTTTTTGAGTATAATTTATAGTTGTAACACATACTCCAGAAGGTTTCATATGGTGTTAGTATACCAGAGTAGGAATTATATATGCTGATAATGTATGTCGATCTATCACATCAACACCCTGGATACTCTCTGTAACCCCTGGAGCATGTATGTGTAAGTTACTATGTAGCCTTAAGGTAATACATGTATGTCACCTTTTAGCTACAAACCGACCATATCACATACAATGTATGACCTACATTCTGTTATCAGACATTTAACCCCCCCCCAAAAAAAAAAATGTGTATCATAAGACAACTTTGTTACTACATGTCAATTTCCTCATTGAAACGTTTTCTGGTGCAAAATTTGATTTCAATGGATGTTAATACATCCTATTTACCATGGGCTATACAGTGTACATCAATATAAGTCAAGCTGATAATTACATCCAGGAAGTTGCACATCTTAGCTATAGGCAATATGTGGATCACTATGTTAAGCTATGCTGCATGATTACCTTGTCGTGTAATCTATTAATACATACAAAAAATTCCTATATCACATTTATACAAATTTTGAATTCATGTACCATAATAAACTTCTATTCATAAAGAACCCAGAATTTGTGTTAAATTGGAATGGATATTTAAATGGGGCAGATGCATCTCATATAATTAAAGAACATATCAAAGTATATCTTTACCAAATAATCAAGTAATCTATCAAACCTAAAAATATTTCCAGACTATTATTTCAAGTAAAATAATTCCTGAATATGAGTGTAAAACAAATCTTTCAGTTCGAATAAGCAATGTGTTTTATTATAAAGAAGCATAAAGGACCTTCATCCTTATTTCTCCTGAAAAAGGTGAATGTCAGAGGTATCGAACATAGGGGCCTTCATTTCCAAATTTGTTAAAAAGTTAAAATCATCATTTACTCTTCTACTACATTGTAGATTCTTGGTAGATTTTCAATTCATAGCATTTCAATTTTTGTTGACTTCATTTAACTGATCTAATTTACTTAAGATAATCATGTAGGGATCCTTTTTACAATTGTCCAATATCATGACCTTGAACATTATTTTACCTCTTAGTTATTCCACTAAACAAAAAGATTTTGACATGTTTAACCCTGTGACATTGAAAATGGTCAATATAACACCAAGGACATAAGCTATACCTTCCTGGTTTTAAATAGAAAACAGTGCAGTATCTTTAAATGAACTACAAGAGGCCCACAGGGCCTGCATCGCTCACCTGGATCTTTATGACCAACAGTACTTTATCTGTGCATATATTCCACATTTAACACATTTGACCCCTGTGACCTTGACTATGGGTCAAGGTCATTTCTTTTTGCAAACTTTCTTGGATTTCATAAAAGGAACATACTGGCAAAATATAATAATTCTAGGATTTTCGATATTTCATAAGAAATTGTTTAAACGTTTATACACATTTGACCCCTGTGACCTTGAAGATTGGTCAAGGTAATTTCTTTTAGCAAACTTTGTAGGACACCAGAAGAGGAACATAGTAGACTAATATAATGATTCTAGGCCTTCCGGTATTTTGGAAGAAATCGTTTAAAAGTTTCAACACATTTGACTTCTGCGACCTTGAATATGGGTCAAGGTTATTTTTTTCACAAACTTTGTTTGGCTTCATCAAAGGAACCTTCCAGCTATATATAATGATTCTGTGCCTTCTGGAATTTCGGAAGAAGTCGTTTAAAGGTTTTAACACATCTGATGTCTGTGACCTTGAATATGGGTCAAGGCCATTTCTTTTTGCAAAATTTGTTGGGCTTCATCAAAAGAACCTTCCAGCCAAATGTGATAAGTCTAGGCCTTTCGGTATTTCAGAAAAAGTTGTTTAAATGAAAAGTTGATGGACGCAGGACGGACAGATGGACGCCGCGGTATGGCATTACCTCACATGGCCCTTTGGGCCAGATGAGCTAATAAAATGGACTGTCTCACAGATTCTTGAGGATAAAAGAATTAAGAGGTAAGCCGAATCGCTGGGTCCTTGTCAAAGAAATCTCAGATTGTGAGCTGAATCCCTGGGTCCTTGTCAAAGAAAACTTAGATTATGTGTTGAAACCCTGGGTCCTTGTCAGAAAAGCCCAGATTGTGAGCTAAAACCCTGGCTAAAGATGGAAAAAAGAGAAATCTGTTAATGGTCAGGGGCTATAAGTTGTCAAAACTCTCAATATAATAAAGAGTTTCTATAGAGAAGTATCAAAATATAACTGTTTAAAAGTTCAAAGGAAAGCAGATTTCTGCCACAGCAGATATTAAATCATGGCCACAGTTTCCAGTTTTATAATCCATATCTCTTCTACCATGGTGTTAAGAAGCGTGCTATATCAACTGAATAATGGAAACATGTACAAGCCATTCAGGTCAACTCCCCTGTTTTCCTTAATTCCAATCTCTAAATCCCACAGTCCCTGGGACAGATGCCACCAATGCTGCAATTGACGCTGCAATAAAACCTCAATATGTGGCTCCACAAACAAAGCATATTGAAAAAAAACAAACTTTTATATTTATTGATTATAAAACTGATTAGATGCCATATACAGTCTTCATGTACCTAGTGAAAAGTATACATCAACTGTATTGCAGCAATCTTCTTTAAATCTATATTTCTTTCAGTCCTGACACCAGACACATACCTGTGTGCAAGTGTTCGCCCAGATATAACATTAAGGGGACATCAGAAAGTATTGCAACAAGCACTTCAATATGTTGAGCATAAAGAATCAACCTGATTGATTTGTTACTGGCTGTTCACCTTTGATCAGTTTGCTTTCCCAAACTTGCCATATCCTTTGACATTTGAGCTTCCGTAAATTTAATAATACACCTAGAAAGCACAGAGTTCCATCACAGCTGAAATAACATGGATTATAAATCTGTCATGATGTGCAGATGAGCAACATCAAAAATAATGTGACCGTAAAAGACCAAAGTGTGAGGAGCTTAAAAAAAACCTCACCTGTCAAAGAATGCATTCAGCTACAACATGGACAGGCAAAAATTGATTCAGGGTACTTACCAGGTGATATCTAGGTTAAAATATATAGACCTGCAAAATAATGTTGTTGGTGACCTGAAATGAAATTTGCTATGACTGCAATTTATTTCTCCTGAATTTGTTTGACTTAATTACTGTGGTACTTTTAATTTCAATTCAACAAAAATGTGATTTTATACAAATGAAGTTGGTACCAAATTAAATTAAACAAAAGCCTGATGTGTAAATTAACATCAACCAACATTATGATGTCATAACATATATACAAGCACACAAACACACCAAACAAGACTCAATGCAACACAAGCACTAACTAGTTAACCAAAATTTCTGTGCATTTGCATTTTTCTTGACACTCTACAAAATGTCCTTGTGGCACATAGCTTTGCTTATTACAAGCCGTGTCTGTCTCATATTTGTGGAATAATTACGGGCCGTCGTAGGTGTTTCAACCCGGTTACATGAAAGCAGTTTATGTGGTACTTCTTGCTACTACATAACTAATTTACTGAACAGTCTATATGATATTATTAAAGTACATGAAAGTTTCCATGAAAAAAGGACAATGGAGCTGTCGTTTCAACAAAACTTATCGGTCATGTCTTTTTTTTTCAAATGATGAAATATGATTATAGACATGATGGTCAAGTGTCAAGCACAAGGGAATATTCGTTGCAACCGACAAGATATGAAGTAGACATCTAAGATCATCATTTAGTTACAATCATTGGATTCGTCTTCTAACCTTTCTCAGTGTCATCTATATTGCCCATCACATTTCCGATTCTCCCAAGGGAAGCCATCGTTACTTTCTACAGTTGAACGTTAGAATTCCTGTTTCCTAGATCTATTGACGTCTTCCACTTAGCATATGATAAACAACGTCACGAAAATGTTTCTTAGTGTGACACTACAGTACATTTAGATAATCGTTCAAATGATGCAGATTTTCACTACTCTCGTGTCGGGGTTTTTAAATCAAAGTAAATGAAGATATCCAAGATGTTCCGAACAGTGTTGATACCAGAGAAAAGTATCTGATAACTAACATAGATATTTCAGTTAGTAAATTTAGCATGATTGTTTCGCAACTTCGATGATTTTATTAAGCAGCAAAATTCAAATGTCCTTAGTGATATCTTTATTTACAGCATAATTATCTTATATAAGATTTATCCATTACATACGTCTTTCTACTTCCGTTTCTGATGTATCTATGACACCGAAGTGTAAAAACGTAGAGTGGAATAACTCAGTGTATCTTGCGCCTTTTATTACACAAATTGGCACTGAAAAAATGAGAAAACCATTGTCAGAAATAATTTCATAAACAGGATTTATGTGTAAAAAAAACAGGTGTTATTAAAACCAAAGACATGCCGAACAGTGGAAGTAGCCACCGGCCCGGAGCCAACTTTTTTTCACATATGAAATGGGAACATCTTCTGGCAGGCGTCAGTGGCGGAGTAACTTCCACACTAGTCCTTCATCCTCTTGACCTGGTGAAAATCCGATTTCAAGGTAAGAAAACAAATGCACACTTTCCCAGCCCACTAAAAACAATCCAAGAAAAGTTTTTAAGTTTGTTCGGCTATATCTTACCATCGTCCCATTTGGGACGATTCCCAAAGGATAATCAAAACTGCGAAAAAAATTTGAATCTATATATCATTCGGAACCCATCTGGCTTCACTATTTATTATATACGGTTTTGGAAGGGAGGGAACTCCTCTCGATCTGTTGATATTTGGTGGGACGATAGAAAGAGTAAATATTATATAGTGTGGATATTTTGTAACAGTATGTATTTAGTGTTCACATTTTAAGTTTACCTGTTACTTTCCACACGCACTGAAAGTGTTTTCTTTGGGGATTATAATGGAAAAAAAGGGGCTAGGATGATTTTTGGGGGAAACGGAAAGAAATGACAATCTCTCATAGATATCTTGGTGGGACGATAGTAAGAGTATATATAGAGAGAGTTGATATTTTGGTGGGACGATAGTAAGGGTATATATATAGAGAGTTGATATTTTGGTGGGACGATAGTAAGGGTATATATATAGAGAGTTGATATTTTGGTGGGACGATAGTAAGGGTATATATATAGAGAGTTGATATTTTGGTGGGACGATAGTAAGGGTATATATATAGAGAGTTGATATTTTGGTGGGACGATAGTAAGGGTATATATATAGAGCGTTGATATTTTGGTGGGACGATACCTTATTCAACTACACCGTACTGTGAACATCGATCGTCCTCTCTGGTCCTCGATCACATGACATCATTTTCAATCCATCCAGGGGTATACGGTAGTGGTTTATGACGCATATTAATGAATATAACACTGATAAAATTAATAATTATCACTCTTTTAAAATGGAATATTCTATTGCACTTGCTGACTATGATGAAATTTGCATATGTTTGTCGATATCTGCTTACTCATCATTTGCAAGATGTCCAGAAACGCGAAACAACGTGATAAATGGCTCTTAATTCAAGATTTGATTGGGCCTGCAAAGCTATGGCCAATTGGAATACGTCGTTTATTCTGGACGAAAAACATAAAACACTTTGAAAGAATACTTATAGCCTCATTTGCGTGGGTGAATGGGTTAAACCCAGAACTTTTGATAGAGTGGTCAAATTTCATGGGACTCTTACGTGACGACGCAGCAAGACGTCATCTTACTGCACTCTTTCGCTTATTTGAGGCAGGCAGATATAGTCGCAGTTTGTACGCCTACAACATCACAAATAACCGCTACGAATATCTGAATGGGGACGTAAGAGTGTACCAGCACTCTAGTACCAGAAGGTATGTGTTAGCAAAAAAAAATTGTAGCGATTCGTAGTTTCTATTTCTGTCTCTTTGTTTCTCAATTAATGAACTGTTAATTAATTGTGGATTATTAAATTTTATCATGTTCCTGTCCTCAGCTTCATATATATTAGCATTTCATTCCGTCGATAAGTTAAAAATAAATAAAAAATAGCCGTAAAAATATAACGTAATTTAAGTTTTATCCCCAAAACACACTATATAAAAGATATTATAGTTCTCTTTTAAAAATTCACGGAGTGACTCCAAATACACCCAAATTTAACTCAGCCTAAATTAATTAGTGTTATCATTTTTTATATTGTAGATCATGAGTTCAAGGGAGACAACCCATCAAAGTTATGGACACAATCGACAAAGAGCTGCGGACGTCAAGTCCATCACATTTCAACATTTCGCCAATCCCTGGAATTTTTCGCTCTTTTCCTTCTTGGAAATGACGTTGTTTTAGACTGGTGTGAAAGAAATGGTCTCCTTCCATCACGCATGACATGTCCGAAATGCAAGTCAGAATGTCACCACAGCAAGCGAGCCAATAAAGTTGACGGCATGACGTGGAGATGTAAAAATAATAAAAGCCACGAGTTTTCAAATCGCAAGTTTTCGTTTTTTGAATCCTCCAAATTAGATATGAGACATCTTAGAATTTATCAGAAATTTTCTTGATGGTCACACTTTGTTTAAATGTGCTTCTCTCGCTGGAATAAATTACAAGAAAACTGCAGTTGATTGGGCTTCTTTCATTAGGGAACTTTTTAAAGAATATATTCATTTAGAATACCAAAATATTGCACTTGAAGGTATTATCGAAATTGATGAGTCGTTGTTTGGCAAGAAGTGCAAGTATAACCGTGGATATCGACAAAGTGGTGTACGAGTTTGGATTGTAGGTTTAGTAGAACGAGCTTCCAACAAATTAGTTTTGTACCCATTTTCTGATCGCACGGCAGAAACTCTGGAAACGATCATCCAAAGGCACGTGGTGGTAGGTGCCACAATTTATACTGATAGTTGGCGAGGGTATGATCATCTCAATGATTTAGGTTACAATCATTTTTCGTTGGTACACAAAATCCCATTTAAAAAATCATACAAGAACGTCGACACCGGGGAAATTGTAGAGGTCAATACAAAAACTAATGAGGGCGCTTGGAAACACGCTAAGGATCATTTCAGGAAGATGAACGGCACATCCATTAGCAATTTTGAAAGTCATTTATGTGAAATTCTGTGGCGCAATCATATGCGAAACGAAAACAAGTATAGTGCTTTTTTCCACCTTGTCCAGTCTGTGTTCACTTTGGACAAACCACCAGAATATTCGTATACAACACCATTGTTTGACACCTGGCTCACAGCTTCGCAAAACAATTCAAACACTACTATTTCCCGTATAGATGACGATATTGATGTATCCGGTTCTGATGATGACGGTCAGGGTGTAGTAAATCCAGTTGAGCCCGCAAAATCTACTGAAACACATTCAGCAGAATCAACAGATCGGCCAGCATCATCCGTCGCACACAAAACTCAGTCATTGTCTGCAAATCATCCTCAACCCTCAACATCTATCGATTCCGGCGCACGTCCTAAAACAAAATGTCCCAAAAATTATAAACCCGTCGCTTCCAAAGTAAACTGCCGTGAAACTAGAGGAAAGCAACGTACTCGGGAAGGGCCAAAATCATCAACCCCAAAACATCAATATACAACGAGGAGCAAACGTGTTGTAAAAAAACCACCAAAACAGTCCTTTTTAGAGTGGTCGTCATCCGACGATGATTTTGTAGTTTGAATAAAATGTATGTTAAATTTGAAGTATACTTCCTTATTTCTCCATTTCAATTCTGCAGCTCGCATTCCGAGTGTTCGTTTTGGTTTTGTTTTTCTTTGCACGATATGTGTATTCACTCCTCCAATAACTGTTTCTAGAATGGCATGTCGTTGCACGAATTAAGGGATTAACTCTGAAGGGAGCATACAATTTGTTTCAAAAGGGAGTAGGTAAATAAAAAATCTTGGATTTTTTTTAAGTTAGCATAAAAGGTTAATGAAAAATCTGTAATTTACATTTTCGCTTCCGTAAAAAAAGAAACCTCTTCAAGTAACAGCAGTAAACAGTTAGTTATAATGAGGAAGTTTTGTCTTTTTGTAGTGCAATGTAACGTAATATCTACACAGAATGAAAGGTATGTTCCTGTGACCTTTTCTATGGTGATGTCAGAGGTCACAGGCCACCGGGTATTGCCGCGCTTTGCGGCGCTGGGACGCTATCAGCTAACCATGTGTAATTGCTTTATTGATTCCAGTGATGTGTAATTTCTGAGACGTGTTACTACCAAAATTTAATTTTCGTCGTCGTACAAACAAAATATTTAGACATACTACACAAATGACAGAACAGGTTCATTCCGTCTTTGGATTAAAAAAAAATTACAAATGACAACATTTTAGTTTCTGAAATAATTTTCAGGGCAGGGCGTATGAAATTACTGATTAAAAATTTGTCCACGATAAATAATGATACGTAGGCTCATTTCGTTATTAAATTTGGACGTTTGGATAAGGAACGGAATGAATCGTGTGATTGTAGTGCAAAACATACATTTTGCATTTATAAGCTACTTAAAGTAATCGCAAAATACGAACGATATGAACGATCTATTCTATACAGCCTGTGCCAAAGTGTCATTTTTACTAGTTATAAATTTGGATTACAAACGGAATGAACCGTGAATGCAGTACAAAACATTTTCCTTTTGTAACTTTAAATCATTTTACAAATGTAAGTATTTACAATGTACCAAACATCAACGCTCTATATACTACTCTTACTATCGTCCCACCAAAAATATCTACGACTGTCCTTCTTTGCCGTTTGTTCAAATAAAGACCATGGCCCATATTCAAGGTCACCAGTTTTATGTAGTTTTTTGGTAACCATCAAATAAATGCCACTCAGTGACTAAAGTGGTCATGTTATTCTAATAGTAACACACCTGGTTGAAGATTTGATTTTGTCTTGCTCACAGATAAGCTTTCCTAAAGCCTAATGTAAATCCACACTGCAAGATTTACATGACAGGTTTGTTATTGTACCAGCAGATAAAGTGTTCAATAAATTGATCCTTGACTGCAGACATTATAACATTTCCTGTATGCAAAAAGAAGTGGACATGCTTGATAACTAAGAAAGTCCCACATATACAGACTTTCCGAAATACGCCTGTCCGCCGGACATGACCGATATTTTTTTACGAGGTCCGACGTTTTTTAAATCCTGATCGGTCCGACTGTTTTATCGCATATACACAAAACAGCGTCGCTAAAGTATAATGAAGGTGCCAAACACGGGGGAAAAATGAAAATATACGCCAGAGCAGTGCACATAAAAGAAAAAAACAGTATGAAAAGAAGAGACCCAAGAGAGAAAATTTAATGAAAAATGGTAGCAGGGCCGAGAATGGTTGGTGTACGACTCGGAGAAGGTGATGATGTGCTGCAGGGACTGTTCCGATTTTTACGGCGAAAAGAGTCTGAGAAATACAAACACATTTATTCTTGATTGCACGAATTTCAGGACATCTATGGTTGAGGATCATGAGAAATCAAGAGTGCACCAAAAAGCACCTATCCACCTGCAAAGTCCTTAAAAAATGAAGCAGGCAGAAAA